CCTCGATAGACTAATGGCGACATTAACAAATGCTAATGGAGAACTAAGATCGTGGTTCCTCAGAAGTTTCTTATTTTCTTAACTGATTTCTTACAAAATATACCTACTCAGTTATTAAAACTTTCGCTGTATCTTAGGCTTCGGAATGTTGTATATTTTTATCTACTTTCAAACAAACATATAAAAATGAAGCGTTGTCTGTTGGTTGAGCTGACCGTCGACAACGGCTCGTCCGCTACACACAACCGCAAAGAAGGTAGGTAAAGGAATAGTAAACATGTCATCAATTCATCATCAACAGCCTATAAGTGCCAACTACTGAGAAAAGCCTCTTCTCACAAGGAGAGGGTTTGAGCATTAATCACCACGCTTGCTCAATGCGGGTTGGCGATTACAAACTTATGATTAGAAATTATGCCCAGGTTTCCTCACGATATTTTCCTTCACCATTTGTCAGTGGTGTCTAGATCTTAGAAAGTACATATAATTCGGAAAAAGTCACAATGGTACTTGCCTTGCATAAGAAGAGGGCGTCTGAAGCCTCCGGGCCACCACGACATTTAGTAAATATGTATGTACATACAATGTACATCAATTTGTTTATACCGGACTAAGCGGGGAAAATCATGGTATGACTGCTCCCGCCTGGGTGAGGCGGGAGGGAGTGTCAGACTCTTACTGACTAAAAACCACCCCGTACCTTCTCCTGCAAGTCGAGCTGCAGCTCCGGTTACCCGTTAGGTTCTCCGCGACTTAATTAAGAGCTGCGAGTCAAATAATGAAAGGATAACTAATCATTTCAGACGATATGTGTCAGTAGATGTGCTCCATGGAATATAACTAAGATATGTATAATAAAAAAAGACAACGAGTCAACGAACTAACTATTATACAGCTTCGTTTAACTGCGTACTTGCTTAGCTAATTAATTTCTATAAAAATTAAAATCATAATCGTTAGGTAACGAAATAATTTAAGAGATAAATGATCATTAGTTAGGAACACGATTGTGTCTGTCTGTTTCTTTCTCTGCTTGGTCGTTGGACGATTGGTTGTTACCTGCGCTAGTCACACCCCCACACCCCATACACCCTTCGTGTACTAGGAATGCGCAGGGGCATGGGCGCTCACTGCTTTCCTTAGTCGACATTGAGACGCGAAGCGAGTAACATGAATTCGTACAGAAAATATAGTCTGCAGAATTGGAGAACAGAGGCCCGTATGCCTGCCGAGCTGGAGGAGGACCCCGTCCTCCACAAATATTGGCGGAAGAGGCACATTCTCTTCCACAGGTGGGTTTTTTATTTCCATATTATAAAATCAATTTAGTTTCAATTGAGACTTTTTCTTGTAACAGAAGAGTAACGATTCGTTTCCTTGGCTACAGTTTCGACGAAGGGATCAAGTTGGACCGCGAGAGCTGGTTCAGCGTAACCCCGGAGAGTGTGGCAGCGCACATCGCTCAAAAATATAAATACGACGTTGTCATAGACGCATTCTGCGGTGCTGGCGGCAACACTATACAGTTTGCGAAGACCTGTAATCGGGTCGGGTTGGCGATTACAAACTTATGATTAGAAATTATGCCCAGGTTTCCTCACGATATTTTCCTTCACCATTTGTCAGTGGTGTCTAGATCTTAGAAAGTACATATAACTCGGAAAAAGTCACAATGGTACTTGCCTTGCATGAGAAGAGGGCGTCTGAAGCCTCCGGGCCACCACGACATTTAGTAAATATGTATGTACATACATTGTACATCAATTTGTTTATACCGGACTAAACGGGGAAAATCATGGTATTGCTGCTCCCGCCTGGGTGAGGCGGGAGGAAGTGTCAGACTCTTACTGACTAAAAACCACGCCGTTCCTTCTCCTGCAAGTCGAGCTGCAGCCCCGGTTACCCGTTAGGTTCTCCGCGTCTTAATTAAGAGCTGCGAGTCAAATAATGGAAGGATAACTAATCATTTCAGACGATATGTGTCAGTAAATGTGCTCCATGGAATATAACTAAGATATGTATAGTAAAAAAGACAACGAGTCAACGAACTAACAATTATACAGCTTCGTTTAACTGCGTACTTACTTAGCTAATTAATTTCTATAAAAATTAAAATCATAATCGTTAGGTAACGAAATAATTTAAGAGATAAATGATCATTAGTTAGGAACACGATTGTGTCTGTCTCTTTCTTTCTCTGCTTGGTCGTTGGACGATTGGTTGTTACCTGCGCTAGTCACACCCCCACACCCCATACACCCTTCGTGTATTAGGAATGCGCAGGGGCATGGGCGCTCACTGCGATCCTCAGTCGACATTGAGACGCGAAGCGAGTAACATGAATTCGTACAGAAAATATAGTCTGCAGAATTGGAGAACAGAGGCCCGTATGCCTGCCGAGCTGGAGGAGGACCCCGTCCTCCACAAATATTGGCGGAAGAGGCACATTCTCTTCCACAGGTGGGTTGTTTATTTCCATATTAAAAAAACAAATTAGTTTCAATTGAGACTTTATCTTGTAACAGAAGAGTAACGATTCATTTCCTTGGCTACAGATTCGACGAAGGGATCAAGTTGGACCGCGAGAGCTGGTTCAGCGTAACCCCGGAGAGTGTGGCAGCGCACATCGCTCAAAAATATAAATACGACGTTGTCATAGACGCATTCTGCGGTGCTGGCGGCAACACTATACAGTTTGCGAAGACCTGTAATCGGGGTAGGTGACACTTCTCTTCCATACCTACTGGTTTCCACCAGAAACTAGTAGTTGTTTAAGTGTTATTTTTGTCATTGTGTTGTTATCTAATGATTGATTATGTTCAACAGTCATCACAGTTGATATAGACGCGAAACAGATTGAAATGTCCCAACAGAACGCCAAAGTGTATGGCGTCTCCGACTAGATAGAATTTATTGTTGGCGACTTCTTCCACTTAAGTGAGATATTACACCGTATTCTGCTTATAACATTTTGTGTTCTGATCAATGATGAAAATCAATTTGATTTTAGAAGCTAACAGTTCATTGCTGGCCGGCCTGCAGGCGGATTAGAGATCGCAGTTTGAAATATCGAGTCATCAGAGATCGCAGCTTCCCGGTCGCTGTTGTACATAATTATGTTCCCTTAGTCGAGTCTCGCGACACCGCGGGAGGAGGGAATTATGTATTCTTCTTCTAAATACTCAACGAACAAGGCCGTGATATTTTTATATATTTTTAACTTATAATTGTAAATAAACTGAATAAATTGTTAAAGATTTACACAATGGTTTTGTTGCTTCAATTTCATTAAAAACCTTGACAACACGATTACACGACTAACCCAAAACCAGTGGTAAAAAAGAAATGAAGTATTGTTAAAACCACAAATCATCAATGCCGGATTGATCATTGAGTAGTTTTTCGTCCATTACGTGAGATCACGTAAGCCGTCACGTTCAAATGTGCCATTATTCAGTCTAATTCCCTGTATTTATCGACAAGTACTTAAAAGTCATTTCTTCAGTAACTGCGTAAGTAACGATTTTCATTTTATAGTTAAGAAATTGCTGGAGTGGGGTCAACGAACAAAGAGATAACCTCTCCCAAATCTCTAAAATCAAATCATATTTATTTGCTCAAACACATGTGTACATTCAATAAACAATCGCATGTAAGATAGAGGGTAACAGTGAAAAAACCCCGAGACATGTTTGCCGTATACAATGGCATGCAAATATAGTAGGCACTCATAATGATTGCGAACTAACCGACGTCTTTCGAATTAATGGTGTTGTGAACATCACATGTTCTTTATAGTGAGAAATGATCCAAAACATTTGTTCCTCTAGCAACAATATTGCTGAAAAATGCTGTGAGTGAATCATGAGTCGACAAACGATGTTGTTTTAGAAGAGATTCTTGCTGATTTCCGATATGTTTAGCAAGCAACATGATGATATCTTTTCGTGTGCGACGTATTAGGTACATACTTAGTAGATACGAAGTTTTTAGGTGCACTTTATTCACTATTTATTCACTACAATAATATCCCTATATTCACTCTCTAGGGGTCTACCCCTATAATCTATTATAGGTACTCCCATACTATTTTAGAATCATTATTAAAAGTGCCAACTTTGAGGGAATTTGCTACTACTACTTAGCACAATACAATTTTTTTAATAAAATCACTTAAAGTAATATTAATTTTATTGAGAACACTTGGTTCGTCGAAATACGAAATTCTTTTCCAAACTAGAGCAGTTTCTAAGTAGGACCCAAACGCCAATCACTACAATAGACTTTTATCTCTTCATTACTTTGAAGGCGTAACGTTAAGCCCAATTTTCCTATTCTAGTTTAAGTTTGTTCACTATGTCTCTTCATTTATTTATTGTTCGTACCAATTATGTTTTAAATATATTGTACAGAATAGTTATGATAAACAATAAACGGTGTTTTGGGACCGACAGCTAAATGTCTCATTGGGTGTGAGCATGGCTGTAGCAGAGATATATATTGGCAATAATAAAACCTCTACACAAAAAAGGATCAAAACTCGATAGAAACAATTACAGACCTATTGCACTTACCCCTGTTATATCCAAGGTATTTGAACGGATTATGTACAAAAGAGTCTTGAATTTCTTGGATAAATATGACATCTTAGCAAAGGAACAGTTTGGTTTCAGAAGATACAGATCTACACAGTTGGCCACCTACACATTAGTAAACAGCATTATTAATAATATTAACAATGGAGTTCCCACATCCGCCTTACTACTAGACTTGAGTAAAGCATTTGACTTTGTAGATCATTCCTTACTCCTTTCAAAATTGGCAAATTGTGGAATTAGAGGCTCATCACTGTCGTGGTTTCGATCATATTTGCAAAATAGAAAACAGCTTACTAGAATAACTAAATTTGACAAAAAAAGTAACAGCGTAATAAAATTCGATTCTCAAGCAAGAGTCAACTATTTTGGTGTACCTCAAGGTAGTATTTTGGGGCCTTTGTTATTCCTTATCTTTGTCAATGATCTCCCACGTGCGCTTATACACGAATGTGTCTTATTTGCGGACGACACAACAATTATTTTGGATTGCAAAAATAGGGCTACATATGAAGCTGAAATAAATAAAACCTTAAATGATGTTATTAGGTGGCTTAGTATTAACAAATTAAAAATAAATATAGAAAAAACTAAAATTATTAATTTTAAAACATTTAAAAGTAAAACTATCGAACTAAATTTAAGTTATAATAATACGCTTATTCAGCAGATTCATAATGCCAAATTTTTGGGTGTAACTCTTGACTCTCATTTCACGTGGAAGGAACATATTAACAACTTATGCAAGAAAATTAACAAGTTTGTCTTTGCACTTCGGAAAATAAAAGACGTAACATCAATTCAAAGTTCCATTATGGTGTATCATGCATATATTTGTTCCATAATACGTTATGGTATCGTCATATGGGGAAACTCCTCTGAAATCATGAGGGTCTTTGTGGCCCAAAAAAAGTGCGTTCGTGCAATGTTTGGCATGGGATGGTCGGATTCTTGCAAACCCGTATTTAAATCTAAAGGATTGTTGACTGTTCCTAGCATTTATATTTACGAAGTGGCTAAGTTTGTGAAATATCATAGTTATTTGTTCGTTGCTAACGATAATGCTAACAGACGCTTGATCACTCAGCTGCCCCTGAAAATGCCCATCCCTAAACTAGAGCTTTATAGGAAAAGTTGTGCATATATGGCGCCGCTCATATTTAACTGTCTACCCCGAGGAATTAGCGAGCTGCCATATAAACCGTTTTGTCGTGCCTTACAAAAGTGGTTGGTTCAGGAGAGTTTTTATTCTACCCGAGACTTCCTAAGTAACAGCAGCTGTAGGTATGCAGCTTTTTAAATCATTGTATCATCGTGCTAATCAGTGCCTCCATGTTTTTTGACCAAAATTAATTATAAATTTCTCACCTGACTTCCTGTTTTGCTATGACAATTAATTTATTGACTTTTTAGTATATTAAAATTTGACTACAAATGCTGGAACCAAGACCGGCGTCAGAGCTGATGCGAGTGGCGCGGACTATATCGTCCAATATTGAGATGTTCCTACCAAGGAACTCCAGACCCGGCCAAGTAAGATATCGCACCACATTTAGCTTAGTATATGTATATTGTGCTCTGATTATTCTAATATTGCTTCTAGAAATGTTCCTAAAACTTTCTTATGATTGTTTACTCTTTTGTTGTTATTAGTTATTTATACTATTTTTTGTTACAGATTTTAGCTCTGGCAGAAAAAAAAGTTGAGGTTGAAAAGAATTATATAGGAAAAGGCAAAAAAAACATAACGGCGTACTACTTCTAAAATCAAATTGAAAAAAAAAGTAGTACTAACTTTGGTTTTATCTGTCTGTTCTATTAACAGCATTAAAAAGTTAATAGTTCACCACTGGAAGCGGTCAAGTTGAACTGCACTGCGAGAGCTAGTTGAGCGAACCACGGAGAGCGTGGCAGCGCACATCGCTCAAAAGTATCAATACAACGTTGTCTTGGACGCGTTCTGCGGGGCTGGTGGCAATACGATACAATTTGCAATGGCCTGTAATCGGGGTAGGTAACACTTGTCTTCGATACCTACTGTTTCCCACTAGAAAACTGTAGTTGCTTAAGTGTTAGTTTTTGTTATCGTGTTGTTTCCTAATGCCTGATTATGTTCAACAGTCATCGCAGTTGATATAGACGCGAAAAAATTGAGATGGCCAAGCACAACGCCGAAGTGTATGGCGTCGCTCATAAATTAGATTTTATTGTCGGCGACTTCTTCCAGTTGGCACCGCAACTCAACGCGGATATGGTCTTCCTGAGTCCGCCATGGGGAGGCCCGTCGTATTAAAAAGTAAGTGGCCTTTAAAGTTTTATTCTGATCTTCAGCCCTGTCCTACAATACATTTGCCTTTTTTTTGAGGGGGAAAATCATCCAATGACTTCTCCCGCCCGGGTGAGCTGAGAGGGAGTTTCAGACTCTTACTGACTAAAAACCACCCTGTTCCTACTCCTGCACTTCGAGCCGGAGCCCGGCAACCCGTTAAGTCTACCGCGGCTCCGTACAATACATTTGCCTAGACGTAATTTTCTCTTTTATTTCGGAGATCTCTGAAACTTACTGCACCATTTTAAATTGATGGTTCAGTCGCCCTGCCAGTGTATGTCTCAGTTGCATGGTAAATAAAATGCACTCGTTGCCGACTTTCCGAAAAGTTTTCTACACGCTGCCCAACCAAGCTGTATACGTCTACGAGCCTCCTTCTAGAAGATGTTTATCCAACTTTAGGTCTTCTTAGCTGTATACTTAATTTATTTTATTGGTTTTTTTACAGGTTAGAGATCGCAGTTTGAAATATCGAATCATCAGAGATCGCAGCTTCCCGGCCGCTGTTGTACATAATTATGTTCCCTTAGTCGAGTCTCGCGACACCGCGGGAGGAGGGAATTATGTATTCTTCTTTTAAGTACTCAACGAACGAGTTATTCTAAATCTGTGATATTCTGTGATATTTTTATACGTACCTAATGAATTGTAAATAAACTGAATGAATATAAAAGATTTAATTTGTTGTTTCAATTTCAATAAAAAACCTTGACAACACAATTAAAACAAAACGATAGGTAAAAGAAATGAAGCACTGTTATAACAACAAATCATCAATGAATGTAAGTCGTCACATTCAAACGTGCCATTATTCAGTTTTATTTCTGCTAAATACCTACATAATGACCATTCGCCCGCTCTCTTTCTCTCTCGCTGACTCTCTCTCTCTT